CTATGGCATTTAAGTAACGCATTTTTTCAAGATAAATTTACTTGAACACAATGCTTTATCAATAAATGAAGTTTAACCATTACCGAATTGTTTTGTTTCGATCGCAACAGTAATTGTTTCACTGGCACTGCCTTGTTTACCAAGTCTGCAAGCTGCATGTTGTTCACGGTTCCCTTGAAAATGCTTTCATAGACTTCGCTTCGCGTCAGTCAACGGAAGTTTTCCACAATGGCGAACGAGTTGGCTTACGTACATTTACGAATATGCGTCAGAATTCATGACTTTTATCGCCGTCGATCTACGATGCGGTGTGAGTTACACCCACACCCTTCGAGCGTATTCGAAGAAGGTTACGATGTGGATGGCTTTTCTCATCGTTCCTAGATCATCTGTTTGTGATACAAGTGCGTCTGGAAATTCGCAGCTTGAACGTTTGCCCGGTAAGCTTGGTTATATTTGCTTAATGCGGTACGAATCCTGATACCTCGTATTTGCGTTGCAAGCTTTGTTCTGCGACGGCAGCTTATTGAGCTGATTGGTGATGGACCGACCATCGCTAATATGGTTAGTCAATGAACAGCTGAGCTCAACGAGCGGTTACGCTTCGACAGCCAACAGCCCGCGCTGGCGGAATTCTGTTAAAGTAACCATATCCACTTGTAGCGCCCGTTCTTCCTCCATACGGCCGGACTCGGCAGACAGTTCCGTACAGGGAACCTGATTGCCCTTACGGTCGAATCGAGTGCCACGGCGTACGTCGGTCAGCGCGATGCGAAGAAGGTTTTGTAAAATCATCGCTGAAATTCTGTGTCGCCACGACGCCCGTTTTTGAACAAATCGCCTGGTCGAATTAAGTACAAAGCCGAGAGCGTGACGAGTACCACAAGTATCTGAGCAGGGCCTGAAATCGCCACGGCTGGATGATCGGTCAATAGATGTTTTAAAGGGCGTGAGAACTGCTTTGCTGTCATCCAGTTTTGCTATTCGCTTGTACGACACCTGGACACATCGATGCAATGACCCAACGACGTGTTCACTCGCTAATCTGTCAGATAAACATGCGCTCTCCGCGATCCGTTTGTTTTCTCACGCATGGTGAAAGTTTTGTTTATATACAGTATCAGCGCGGAAAAACTTTTGTTTCTTTCCATAAGTTAGCCACTTCCCGGCTTAGCTATCCTGTGTCGAGGACCCTCGTACGATGTAGGATCGGCATCGGTCAGATATTTGGAGCAGTTCACAAGTGGCCGCTACGAGATCATTCTGGTAGACGTCAAGGTACAGAACTACAGGTCAGTCTAATGCCACGAACCCTCCTTCTGGCAAATAATTTGCGCAACTTACCAGCAGATGCTTACCCTCAATCATCATCTCCGATCTTGTGTGAACGACGTAACTCGTTTCCATCGATATTTTCATCAGGTACTTCATAGTATTGCCAGATTATTCAGAATACTTCCGGAATAAGTTATCTACTTATAGACTTACGAGAAGACGATTTGCAATAAACTTATTTCTGGAAAACTCGTTATTATCTGCAGTGATTTGTTAACAACGTAATCTATGGTTAAACAGAGCATTCAAGCTAGAATTTTCTAGATTAAAGTTGTCTAGAGAAATTGAGACATCGAATAGATAGCCAAATTGCGTACGTCGTCAAATGTCTCTTTTACTTGCCAAATGGTTTTATATAACCGAAGCGCACCAGGTCTGACAGCTGCTAAATGATTTTATAATTTATGCCTGGAATTATGATTTGTTTCTAAACATCATTCTAAAAGAATACTGAGATTGTCGCAATCGCGTCTTGGAAAACAGCAAAACGAAATATTCTATCTTCGAATCAAATCGCTGTCCATGGTCGGTTATAAAAAAATCTTTGCTTTTACAATTAGTATGTTTGATTGTAGCTTTTGAAATTGTTCATTTCATTGTTTTGCTTATTTTGTTTAACTACGATAAAGAAGACAGAAAGCACACTACACGCTTGACAAAATATTGCGGCTTCCGGGACGATGCGGCGTCAGATTTACTTTGGGGTTCGTTAACTCTCACTACTCAACAATTTTTATCAGCAAGTCCACTTCCAACAGAAGTTTCAAAAACTGTAATTCACCTGA